GCTCTAGAGCAGTGGTCCACCCTGGGGGGAGCCGTCAAAGATGGCAGGCGGGTGCCAGGCCCTCAGATTATTTTGAGGCCAAATTCACTATTTAGGACTGTTAATGGACATATAATGTGTTACGCAATACACGATTGTCACTAAAAGCCTTGTGCTTCTACATTATAATTAAAATATTAAAAGATAATGATTAATTAAAAAAAAGTTGAGCTTTTTAATGAAAAATTCAAGTTAGTAGCTATTAAAGCATAAAAGACAGAAATGTGGATAATTCTTTATTTAATTAGAATGTTGCTTTTCTTCTGCCCGTAAAGTGTCCAAACCAGCTTTTCATGGATAAGCACATTTCCAGAAAACCATAGTCATTGTCCATGCCCGGTTTCAGCTTGGGATTATTGTTCACCGTTTCTCTGATCAGATCCCGTTCTACCCCTCTCATTTTTGTAGATAAGTACGACTTTGAATCACATAAACACATGGCGCAACTCCATGCCTTACTTTGGCAATGTGCTTTCTAAACAGTTTATCCCTTTGTGTGATATTGTTTCCACTTGGGCCCGCTCCTGTTAATTTCTTTCACTACAGCAGGGATAATCCAAATGCAATTCAATCGAATAGTCCAATAACATCAAAAGCTCACTCCAATAGGCTGGCCCTTGATTAACGCTTCATCCGTCCTTTAACAAAGCATACCTCTCACATTCATCCTGTCTGTGACAGTGAGTTGTAGCATTTTTAGACTTTCTAACTTTAATTACCGCCTGTTGCGCCCCCGCCTTGTGTGGGGGGGGGCGCAACTTCCAACAGGAGTCATTTGGGGGGGCTCTTGGGGAAAAAAGGTTGGGAACCCCTGCTTTAGAGATTACACTTCTCCAAAAAGTCAAGTTCTCTCTGTGTGAAAAGGCCTTAAAAACTTAGCAAATCAGAAAAAGTGTTTGTGTGCTCTATAAAAGCCAGATATGTTAATGTAATCAATAGAAATTCTAATTCAATGAATCCCACTGTGAAAGCTCTGATATCATGCAGAGTACATGTTGTGTGATGACAGAAATAGATGATTGCAAGGGCACAGGAAGTCAGTGAGTGGCAGGAGTTCTTACATAAAAATCCATAATGACGTCAGTAAATTGTCCTGACAAAAGCAAATGGAATATGCAAAATAACAAACATATTACAAAAAATGTAATAACTATAATTCCTAAATCTACGCTTTGAGTGCATGTCAATACATCTGTTTCTAGTCAAATTGTATGATAGAACATTTTAGTTGTAGACATGGATGCAAACTTCATGTTCTCAATTTTTTTTGTTTAATGCTTGTTTTTTCAACTGTCACACCACCTATTTGATATTTGTTAATATACAGAATGATGTCATAACTACAAGACACATTATTATTTAGGAAACGTTGCACACATAGACCAACAACCTTTCAACATCAGATATGCAAATATATTGTAGACCCAGTCAAATCAAGCTCCACAAATAATTTGTATACCAAGCTTATCTCTAAGAATTAGGAGCTACTCTGTCAACATCCTTTGAAAAGTAATTTCCCCTGGTGGAAGTATAAATAATGTGGATTGGTGTTTAAATCGTTATCCCAAAATGTTCCTTCTAAATCCTGTATCCTGTATATTTATCAAAGTTAACTCCTAGTACAGCGAACAATTTAAATGGATAACTTTTGAATCAACAACATGGTTGAAAAATACAATACAATTTTTATTTTATTTTAAATTCATATTTCAGAAAATGTTTATTTTTAATGGTAGTTTGTGATGTCTAAAAGCTACACACGTCCTTCCTCCTCAGTGTCAGGCCCTCCTCTGGCCAACGGCAAGATGCATCTACACAGCTCAGTAAAGCGGAAGCTGGCCGAGGATAAAGGCTACGTGTTCGACAAGCGGCTCAGGTATAACGTGCGACAGAACGAGAGCAACTGTCGATTCCGAGACATCGTGGTCAGGAAGGAGGAAGGCTTCACTCACATCCTGCTCTCCAGCCAAACTACAGACAACAACGCTCTGACACCAGAGGTAAGAACTGGGATGTTTATCTCCCCCTTGTTTTTGTTTTTCTATGTATCAAGAGCTACGTTCATTGATGTAACTTTTTGATCGTACCCCAGTTGCCATGGGCTAGGTCTGGGAATTCTAAATGAGAAAGGTTTCCTCATTAACTGCTGCAGAGAAGCCCTGGAGCTATGCTACACTCCCAAACGGCTCCAGGGGAGCTTTTTTAAAAGACAACTTAGAAAACTGTGGTTTTATTTGACAGCTGCCAGGTAAAAATATGCTTAGCTGCATGAATCAGACTCAGGGCATTGCTAAACAAACAAAAATGTACACTCAAAAAAGTTAGAAAATAGCTCCTGGCTACTGAAAAAGATTTTTGCTAAAACCGCCTCCGAGCAAACAATATTTCTACAAGTAGAGTCTTAGGGGTACATACTGTATAACCCAGTGTTATGCCATCTGTTGATTTTGCAGTAAAATATTAGTTGAACTACTTATATATTTATGCAGAAAGTTCGTAGAGGGAAGCATTATGTAATGCATCTTCCAGAGAACTGAAGACCCTTGGGGTGGCCAGATTTCCAATGTTTTTTACTACTTTCTACATAGAAATAACAGTTTGCAATGTTGACAATAACTTAACTGTTTTGTCCAATTAGTGTCAGATCATTTGGTTTAAACAGGCAGTTTATTTTCTTGATGACTGAAAACAGATGTTCGTGCTTGATGAAATTAGTATTCTCTGCTGGCAATTAGGGTGCAAAAGCAACAACCTGTCCCTCCTGGCTTTTGGCATGTTTTATCACAGTCTCATCAGAAATGTGTCAATTACTCGCTAACTCTATGTCAATCAGACATGTAGTTGTGGAACAAACTGTGCATTATGAATTCAGGAGTTTGGCTGTGATTTGGTGTAATCTGTCACGTGTGAGGGACAGGGGTGTAATGGTTCTATGTAAGCCTTTCAAATCAACATTGGTTCTAACACTATATCTATTTAAGAGTGTGTGTGTAGACCTTTTGACTTCCAGTGTTACAATGTGATGCTTTATAGGAGCCTTTTTCAATGAAGATGTTGAAAAGTGACTGCTTTATAATGAATGTGTGCGACACTAAATGTGGTCTGATGGTTCTCTGCTCTGATGCAGTAGCTTCATGCTTTATGATGATCCACTTGTAGATTTGGCTGCCTGCAGGAGAGCAGCAGCCTGTGGCTGGCTCATTTCCACACTGCAATCAACAACAAGCTGCTCCCTCAACATTGTCCCTGGAAATATTCAGTAGCTTGCTTTTACAGAGCTTTCCCCAACCTTTAGGATTTGGGATTTTTTATGTATTGACTATTCCTACATTTTATAACATACAGTATTTGTTAAATATATCATGTCTGACTCCCCATGGTGTTATATCACTAGTTAGATTTTAATCTGTTAATATGTCAAATAGTTTCTGAAATGATCCATTAATACTTTTTAACAGTTTTGACATTTAGAAAAAAAGTTCAAGTAATGAGAACTGAGATTGTTATGTTTTTATGTTGCTTTTTACAGATTCCTTAAAGGTCCATTGCTTTAATAGTGAGTTGCAACAGATAATGGCATGTGTCACAATCATCCACCTCTCATATATCATAAATCTAAGAAAAGATGATTGTCCTTCACTCAGATTGAATGATGTGTCTCAGACATTCCCCAGAGGGGGGTTCTGGCTTTGATATAGTATCTTGTGCACGACAGCCTGCAGTGCCCTGAAGTGGCCTAAACTGTGTGCACATGTGTGTGTACTTTCATGTGTGACAGTAAGCCGTGGGCTTATCAAATAGCTCTGATAGCTCCTCTCTGTTGCCCACTCTTTGAAGCTACAGGAACAAGAGAGTCTGCAGATGTGCCTGCTGAATGGCTTTTGGAAATCTTCAAAAATATCCCGAACATTGTTATCCTAGCACCCAAAGCTTTAGGTGAGAAAGTCCCCAGAGCTGTTACTGGAACTCTTTCTGTCACCTTTCACGCTCAACACAAGCTTTCTGCGTCTGTGCTATACTGCTATTCCAATGTTTTGATATTTATATCGGGCAGCACACTGACGTTGAGAATCTGACATTATCTTGGATATATCAGTGAAATATTAAGTATACCGCTTTTTCATAGTGAAACCATAATTGGAAAAAACCTAGTCAATTTTCTTCTTTTTTTATGTAAATACTATATGCTCATTGTTGCACACCTGCCATAAATGCAGCAATGATTAAGAATGGGTATTAATTTAAGTCCCAGTTGGCCCTTTTCAAATCAGATATTTTGAAATTAGCACAGGTGTTACTAATTAGATTAACGTGTTTGAGTTAATAGTCCCAGTAAACTGAGACGGTGAGCCAGCATGCACAATACCTGGACCCTGAATCTAAAGCAATGGAATAAAGTCAGCCATTGTGTTTGTCATTATTTACACCTGTTCTTTTCTTATTTGTTTGATTTGAAGTATCTCCATGGTACTCTACTGCTCTAGTAAACTATTGTATGTTCCACAGGGAGCAGGGAATAACTGAACGAGGGAGTGGTTTTGGGATGTACCCCCTGAAAAAGTCCAGCTATTTCTGCTATAAAAGAACGCCCTACAGAAAAATGCAAAAAAAATACTTTAACCCAAAATATTAAGAAACTTGTAAGAAATACTAGATTTTAAAATGCATAGAAAATATGATTGATTGACTCATTTTCACCCCTGCATGACAATGTTATTTCTAAGGAACTGTAGCTTGTTGTTGCAAATGTCTTTATGTGTGGAAACCATTTGTTTGTCTATGAATGTCCTGGAGGCATCTGCTCACTGCCCACAAATGTCACTTTGAAGCTCCCTTCTTCCTCTCTGTTTCACAGACTGGAACCAGCATCTGCCGCTGCTTTACGTATCAGGATCTTTAGTTCACCTTGCTAGAACAACGTTATTCATACTTACACACAGACACACATCATATCTAGTTAAAACTGGGGACAGATGAGGTGCTTGGTGAGACAGAGAATCAGATTCCCTTTGAGGTTGAATGGTTAATATGGGTCGAGGGTGATAATCTGATTCAAATGCAGCAATAGAGTGGGCCGATTGACTGCAGTCAGTGATGTGGTGGTGTGGGTTTCCAAACGACTTCTTATCAGGTCGGCTGTCTGACAATGGAGGCTCTCTCCCTTCTTCCTCACACGAGACAAAGGCCAAACACGTGTCTGTGATGCTGAACGATGCACCTCCGATATTACCTGGCACGTGAAGCCTGTTTCGGCACAGCATGATTTTACTGTTAGTTGATCAACTGAACACTGATCATTTGTTTTGTTTTTTTATTTATCAGATCTTTTTCTAGTATTTGGCTTTATCTGCACGACAACATGCCAACAACTTTTCTAAAGATTCAAATTAGTATAAGTCTTGTCTAGCTAGCAAGTCAAAACCGACATCTGATTTTGATTAGTTTTATTTATTTTTCATACTAATGCTGATACTTTACCAAAATTATTTTCCAGTGAGGATATTACATCTTCTTAGCACTATGTCTAGCTTTTTCTGCTTAAAATCCCATTGTTCTGTATTTCATTGTTGTGTAAAATGGTTTTACTAATGCAATTTTCATTGGAATGTGGCTTCTTTAAAAGTTTACTTCCATCTTTGTTTTATAAAATCAGAAGAAGATGGTTAAAAAAAAAAAAAAGGTGGTTAAAATACATTGTTACTTGCAAAAGAATGGAATGAACGTTATTGATCTACATAATTAGAAACTAACAATTTACGTTATTATCATTTTTTGTAACAAATGTAACACTATATTGTAATAATTTCCATAAACTGTTAGTGTTGTAGGAATGGAAATAAGCATTCTTGCACGCCCAGTGTTTCTCATTAACTCTTAGGCCTGTCTGCCAAAAGTGTTTCTGAGTCGATGTCAGCCCTTGGTCTCAGTATATTTCATCCTTTTTTTCTCAACCTTTCTCAATGTATCAGATGAGTTAAGAATGTAATGCCAATTCCTCCTATCTCTTTTCAGATCATGAAGGAATTGTGTCGAGCTCTTGGTAATGCAGCTGCCGATGACAGTAAATTATTACTGCTCAGCTCCGTGGGGACCGTCTTCTGCAGCGGCCTGGAACCCTCGTACCTGATAGGCCGCCTGTCCACTGACCGCAGGAAAGAGAGCAGCCGCATCGCAGAGGCTGTCAGGTAAGAGTCAATATTTCTCCTATGACACTGACTTTTTCTAACTCTTGACATAGTTTGTACTGATTGTTTTTTCTCCCCTTTAGGGAGTTTGTGTTGGCCTTCATCCACTTCAAGAAACCTATCGTGGCAGCAATAAATGGGCCTGCCCTGGGCTTAGGGGCCTCGATCCTGCCCCTGTGTGATGTGGTGTGGGCCAGTGAGAGAGCCTGGTTCCAAACTCCGTGTGCTGCCCTTCACCTCACTCCCTCTGGATGCTCCTCTTACACCTTTCCCCAGATCCTGGGTGTAGCTCTGGTGGGTGCCAGCACTATAAAGGCTTTATTGCAAATACCACTTCAGCTAATTTGTTTCCTCTTATAACCACCTAATTTCCCCTTTTTCCCAAAACATTTTGGAATGCATTATATATGGAAAATCATTGTATTTCCACCCTTGCTTTTCCTGATGGCAGGCCAACGAGATGCTGTTTTGTGGAAGAAAACTCACGGCACAAGAAGCATGCAGTCGAGGTCTGGTGTCGCAGGTCTTCTGGCCAACCACATTTAACCAAGAAGTGATGCTGCGTGTGAAGGAAATGGCATCGTGTAATGCAGTGGTAAGTCTTGATATAGACGACGCAGAGGGCAAAGCTTTTACTAGAATATAACCAAAACTTCCACTGTTTTTAAGGTTTTAGAAGAATCCAAATGCCTGGTGAGGAGCATTATCATGTCAGTCCTGGAGGAGGTGAATGAGAAGGAGTGTCAGATGCTGAAGCAGCTGTGGTGTTCAACCAAAGGACTAGAGGCACTCTTCAGTTATCTGCAAAACAAGACGTAAGAGAAATGAGAATCCACACCCAGAAAACAGATTGATGTGGATCAAAGGTTATCCATAGAGGGACATCCTTGATGAAAATGTGCAGTCTCAAACTAAAGGAAAAGTTGCATTAAGGGTCTTTGTTTCCATCCATCAGCAGAGGGGATTCTCTGGAGTTCTGTTTGCTCACATGTCTACCAACAACAACTTCCTGGTATTCTTCTATTGTGAATCTACTTCTGTTATATATTTATTGGACCCATAACTGTCCAGCTGTTTATTGTATAGAAATCAAAGAGCAAAGGGCCAAATGTGCATTGCCTAAGTAAAGTCTGAAGGAGGTTCGTCAGGGAGGTACAGTGTTTCTGTACATATGTGTCTTTGAAATGATCAGGATGTATGAAATCAGTTAATGTCTGAGAGCACATAAATAGGTGATAATACATATGTTAAAATATATTTATTTCAATTGTGTAAAAGAGTTGCTTTCTGAATAGAAGGATTTTCTTTTTGTCACTTATTGTTTTGAATTGAAATCAAGGTTTTCATGGGGACACTGTTTCTCGATCCTTACGTGCACATTCCATCCTCTCTATTAAAGAGAAAAATAGCCGCAAATACTCATATATGCTCATACAATCAGTGGATCACATTCAGTGCTTGAATCTTCATTAAAACACTCTGGATAATTAAACATACTCTTTTTTATTACACTATTCATTGTTCATACTGTAGAAGTCTAGTCTATTACACAGAAAACAGCCAGTAAATGTGTTACAATAATCTCATTACATTTGCTTCTGTCACATGAAACCAAGATAAGTGCTTATGTAGTCAGGAGACTATAAATATCCTCATTTCATCAACATCCATCTGTCCTGAGTTATTTTATTATTTTATTCTATTTATTCAATCGAAATTCCATTGAGGTTAGGATTTCTTTGAAGGGACACTTGAATTAAATGCAAATCAGAGAGATAAATGGAAATAGACAACAATGGAAGCTTTATGTGAAGGCTAGCACTAAGTATACAAACATGTCTACCCTTAATCAGATGGCATCTTGAGTTGAGTACTTAATTACTTTATGTGATTAAATACATCGCTGGCACGTGCCTCATGATAATCTACCAGGATTAGTGGTAGATTTGATCCCATTTAGTTTACGCTACATTTAGTAGCCGTGCTCAGTACTGTGTTGGCTGGTACGTATAACAAGGCTTCCAGTTAACAATGCAGATATTATCGTTTAAAATGTGTGATCATTATGTTGATATGAGCTGACAGTTTTTTTTGTTGCTTGGATGTTTAGAGCACACAAAAGAGATGATAAGTGTTTGGTTCTCATGGTAATCACATTGTGACTACACTAATTGTCAGTGATCAATATTGTGAAAATGCAACAGTCGTATAGTTGGAGTCTACTTTGTCCTTATCTGCATGTGAGGAGTAAAGATAAACTGATAAACTGATAAATTGATGTACATTATATGTAGGGATCTATTTTGTTTTACCATAAGAATGTAGGTTTGTGAAAATTGTTTTGTAAAAAAAAGACATTTGTCCATGCAGTATAGAATAATATATAATGTAGACTGCTTTGTGTGACTAATGGCATGTCATATACTGTACATATCATGTGTTGCCTGTCTGAATACCTTGTATGTCGGGGTATATTTTGTATAAATATTGTAAGTATTGTTAGAAATGGTGTAGTTTATTTTTCTATTTATTTCAAATAACTGTTTGGATGTGCAGTGCCATTTTGTTTCGTTTCACCAGAAGCCCCCTTTAATCTTCCTTTCTAAATCATCCCATAAATAACTTTGATGAACAAAATGGGTTAAATAATGTATATTTCAAAACTAAAAGCTGTAAATTGACATTATCAGATTATGTATTTAGTTTTCAAACAAAGGAATGTCAGATAATATAATGTATGATATTAGTATGAAAAGATAATCAAAACAAATATTTTATTTCAGATTGATCAATTTGAAGCATTTAATATATGCTCCACAAGGTTTGTCAAATGGTTTTTATTTGTCAGTTTTATGTCATTACAGGGAATAAAAAGTGGTTTAATGTAGTATTTTATGATTTTTAAGTCATTCAGTACTCAAACAAAAAACAACATGCTTTCACTTAAGATCTGAAAACAACACTTGTAGTTGAATAAAGTAACTTGGCTACAAACACACAGTTTGGCAGTTATTTGACCAAAGACTCCATTAGTGTTAGAAAACCAGTCACTTACTTATTTACTAATTGACTTCTTAGACATTGTGTTAGTCTGGTTTAAAATCACACTTATTTCTCGTTTTGCTTGGCTGTGGAATCCCAAGACGATGAGAGGGATCTGTGTAATGTGGCTACTGAATGCAAATGACTCGGGTCCACTGAACGTAACTCACACTGTTCCTTTGAGACATGGCTGTTTATGTGGGCGGTGGTGGCGAAGTCCATAGGGACTTTGCTTGGCATCTGGAAGGTCACCAGTTCAACTCCAGGCAAGACCAAGTGCTACCAAGGTGTCCCTGAGCAAGGCACCGTTCCCTACAGTGCTCCCCGGGTGCCGTTCATAATGGCAGCCCACTGCTCCTAACACTAGGATGGGTCAAATGCAGAGAAACCATTTCATTACATAGTACCTGTACTGTGTAATGAAAATAAAAGTGCAAACATTTGCTTAATTACATTTGTGGAACTTTAGTTTTAAAATACATCTCTTTAATTGTTTTGAACTATATGTTTCTGTTTTAGACATTGGATCCAAATTCTCCCCTTAGCTTGTTTTTGAAGTGTGATTGATTACCAAACTTGAAGTAACTAAGTTATTACTAAAAATATCAACTCATATTTGCTCCATTATTTATTGCAAATCACTGTTTTGACAGGCTTCTGTGCTTCTGTCTTTTATAACCACAATATCATATATTGGCCCATGTATCTCTATTTTGACATGTTTTTTTCTTTCTCCAAACATTGTCTCAAAGCACACCTTGGGGTGCCTTACAATATAAATATCTGTCAAGGATGTATCCATGCGTTGTAAAGGGTGAGCTGATTCAAATAAAGAAACAGTGCTTTCACAATGTGTTGTTTGTTTTACATTTCTCAAACAACTATCTCTGCATTTGTTGATCGTTTCCCATTCATTTCAGTCAGCTAACCAAACCACCCAACGCTCACTGCCCCTTAACAAAACTCTGACTTGTCAGGATAAGATCAAATATCAAACCCCAATAACCAACCCCAGTATTCATTATCATAGTCACTAAAATAGTGACTTTGCAATCAATGTCTCTTTTACATTGCATTTAGCTGACGCTTTTATCCAAAGCGACTTACAATAAGTGCATTCGAAGAAGATACAAACTTGAAGAAAACAGAATCATATAAGTACATCAGGTTTCATAGAGCCAAAACATTTCAAGTGCTACTCAACAGGCTTTAGATAAGCCAGTCCTTTATTAGTATATAAGTGCTTTGTTAGTAATTCTATCGCTCAAAGTGGTGTGTAGGCTTTCTGCTGTCCTGATGTCAATGGGGAGCTCATTCCACCATTTTGGAGCCAGGATAGCAAACAGATGTGTTTTTGCAGATGGGAACTTGGGTTCCCCTCGCAGTGCGGGTGCAGCGAGCCGTTTGGCTGATGCAAAGCGGATTGCACGTGCTGGGGTGTACGGTTTAACCATGTCCTGGATGTAGGAAGGGCCAGATCCATTCACAGCAAACCAGTGTCTTGAAGTGGATTCTAGCAGTTACTGGAAGCCAGTGAAGGGAGCGGAGGAGC